CCCGTTATTATCATTATTATTATTATTATTATTATTATTATTATTATCATTATTGTTTTAATTTTTTTTATTTTTTGAATTTTAAAATGCAATGCCATAGAAAGCTAGCCAGAAAGACTTTAGGGCATTTTTTAGTTGTCACCCCTTTCAAGCCTTTTCATTGCACGAATAAGTATAATAAGCTGCGTTCATATTGTATGGCAGAGGGGAGGGGAGGGGGGGGGGGCAGGTGAAAATTTGAAATTTCCAGAATAATTCTTAACAGCCCCCTTAAAGTCATGCAAAAAAATACGATCCCCCCAAAGCAAGGCTTGTAGCTTCTTCCAACAATTGTGCATACCCCCCATTTTTCTGATGAAAATTTGCCCTACCCCCTTTTTCCTACCAACATTTTCCCGATCCCCCCTTAATTTAACCTGCCCCCCCCCCCCCCCCCCTCTGCTATACATTATGAACGCAGCCTTACTTTCCCCGATTGCACTTTGCGTTATTAGCTTGTTCATTCAACGAAGTGCAGGTGGTTCCATGGATTTATTGTCAAAGTACTCCATCGAAAACAATAAACACACCCTTGAATTCATTGACTGTACTCGACCATCAAGTTAGGAAAAGGCGGGAAAGAAAAGTCCTTACTTATCGTTGTCTTTATTGGTCTCAAGTCTCCCTCATAATGCGAACGTTTTAAGGTCATAATTAGATTATAAGTTAAGATGTTTTTTTACGAAACATAATTAAATACTTGCTCAACCTTAATCACTATAAGGGATCTGTCAATAGCTTATTTTCATTTATTTTTATGGACTCACTATATTGTTTTATTGTGGTATGCATTTAGGATTAGTATTGAGATGTACGAGGTACTACACATTTATTAATTTCATCGTGGTCTCCATGCTCGATAGTGTGTAAGAGTGACAGTCTTGTACGACTTCAAGGTTATGTGTGGGATACAGAATACTCTTGTACAGTCAGTGTAGGTTAAGTGTATTAGGTATTTTTTTGGGTGAAATCATGGAAAATCTTAACAAGCTAGGCTCCACAAATCGATCTGTGAGTTAGCCATGCCCTGACTTAGATTAGGCCAGAGGTTGTTTCAGGGTTCAATCTGTAAGTTAGCCGTGCCCTGACTTAGATCAGCCTAGAGGTTGTTTTAGGATTCTATTTGTGAGTTAGCCATTCCCTGACTTAGATCAGCCTAGAGGTTGTTTACAGAGCTCGATCTTTGAGTTAGGCGTGCCCTGACATAGATCAGCCCAGAGGTTGTTTCAGGATTTGAAATATTTTTTGAAAGTTTAGCATATCACTCTCAGTTCAAAAATAATCATCTAACCTTTGGAAAGCATTTATCATGACAAACCTTATTGCCAGATTGTCAAGAATGTTCATGATCAGAAACCTTTAAAATACAAAAGGTGTGACGATAGCTCGGCTAGATTTTCATCTGTCACAAACGTTTACTCGATCATTGCCGATTATTTATTTCGATGTTATAAATAGTAAACTGACCAAAGCAAAATTGTCTTAATTAAATTTCAGTGTCGAGTGTGGCTTTATCAATCTCGTGATATGGGTTGAGCAATAAGACATGGATGTTCATGTTCACTGTCCGGATTATAAAGCCCGGGCTAAGACGCAATACAATGCTATCTTACAAAAGATTATCAGACTATTAAAGAGGAGCATTTGTCATTTTGAATTCTTCGTTTGCAATAGACGTCATAGCCGCCATGTTGGAAGAATTTGACAAAAGATTTTTCAATGAATTCTTTTGTTATATCTTCCAACGTGGCGGACATCCCTTTTGTTATTGTGCTCTCTTGGGATTGATTCCAAACCAAGAATAGAGAAAATATTATTCCATAACTTAGACTGCCAGAAATTTAATGAATTTGGATCAGGTAACGGCATCTTCAAGCGGAATTATGAAGCATAGCAAAAATATTTTACTTCAGTCTCCCCCCAGAATTATAGTCGGTAGAGATAGAATATTGTTTTTGAATCTAAATTTCTTTACTGAAAATTGAAATGGCTCAACACAGTGCACAAAAGACCCACCAAATTAAACAGAAGGATGGACGTTAACTGGAATAAAATTCTTCTTTGTCCCTTTAAAAATAAATTTGTGGGGAGAAAAAAAAGCCTTCAATACTATTTTTCTTTACTGTGGCTTAGAATTGTTCAAATCTTTAATAAACGACTCACCAAATAGACACCATGTCGACGGATGGTTCTTACCACCTGTTACTATTGTTCTCATCGCTAAAGACCAATTAACTTAACGGGTACTTGATATTATAAGTGTTAAGTTACTTGAAGCAATTACACTCACTGAAAGCGTACACCTCAATGAAGACCGGCTCAACACGTTGTTCTTTTGTGCAGTAAATAAATATGGTCCCAGAGGTCAGACTAGGAATTATTCTAGAAAGAGGCGTGGAAGCAAGCATAGTAACGTATTTTGACAGAGTAGAGGCTAAATATTAATACTGTTTTTGACTTGCCGTCGGAATTAGAATCGAAGTTGGAAGCAGTTCATCCATGACAAGTGAAAACTGCTCGTCATAAAAGTCAAGAAAAGGAAACCTTCCGAATTTTCTAATCCCGACGCGCTTCCGACTCCGATTACGACTCCATCAGTTCTGATTTTCACTTCGTCATAAGCTGCTCCCGACTCCATCCAATTTCGATTCCGATTCTGTTGCTACAGATAACCGGCAACCTTTAGATAAGATGTTTTTAGGTTTTTGTTTATTGACACTTGAGGCTTAATGAGGCGTGTATGGAATTTTGTTACGCTACTTTGATTTGATAAAATTCTTATATTACCAGCGATAAACGATGTCTATATAGGCTTCTATCCCTGACCAGACTTAGCGGTCAAGCGACATTATCTTGTGTTAAAAGGGTTTTCTAATAGAATTTAAATGTTTATATTAAGCTTTTATTACTAGTTTCTCGCTTGATGAATTTAGTTGAGAAATGAAAAATAAGCATTATTACCGTGCATAAATTAAAGGGCTTGGGTAGAGTGCATTTCAAACCACAGGGAGCCGTTGCAGCGAACTTGGTCCGCCAGAAAGGCTTCCTGTGGTTTTCAGACCAACAGGGATTGGATCGGGCCTAGCTCTATCCTTCTATTAACCCTTCATCTTTAAACATGTCTAATCAATCATCCCAATTGTTTTCTTCAGAAACACCAGCCTCCAACAATCCAAGTAAGTGAATAGTTCTGTACGTTTATTTGATCACAGGCAGCCCAAACAAGGTTCCTGTGTATGGTTTATAAGGGAATGTATGGGAGTTATGATAAAGTTACGAAAATAAAATGTTTCACTCAACAATTTGCCTCAAAACTTGCTCCAGTTGTTGCTTTTACTTTGTTCAGTCTTCTGGCGAAGTTTCAGCGCGATTTGAGGCCGTTTAGTGGGTTTTTTCAAAATCCGCTCTTCTCAAATCGGACTGAATCTTCGCCAGAAGACTGAACAAAGTAAAAGCAACAACTGGAGCAAGTTTTGAGGCAAATTGTTGAGTGAAACATTTTATTTTCGTAACTTTATCCTAACTCCCATACATTCCCTTATAAACTATACACAGGAACCTTATTTGGGCTGCCTGTGATTTGATGTTGGCAAACGTGCCTTTAAGGCGAAGCTTCCTGATGTTCTATTTAGTACTCTGGCTTGCATGCATGGTGGAGCCTTTGGAGCCAATCAGAGAGAACACGAAGTCACTAAAAAACGTTTTGGTTTATGAGTATTAATTTACAATAAATAAGAGTTATCACTGACTTAAAAATCTTTAAATACGGGCGTTTCGGCTGAAGCTTTCATCAACAAGATCGATATGCATCATAAGTATAATTAATTAATTATGACTATTTATGATATGAGTGTTAAAGTAATTGACCGTGACCTGAATAAAACGTATGCTGGCAACTGTCTTAGTAAATCGGTTGAGCGGTTGGGTAACCTGCGACTTAAATAACGAGAGAACCCAACTGAGGCAGATTTTTTAATCTGCTTATACACTCGATGTAGCATACATTTAACATATAGATCTTTACCGAGTGACAAAAACACATTTCATAAACCTAATAACTGTTTTAATCTGAACTGTTTTTTAAAGTAACTACATTGGCAAGGTGTTAAATGGGGGGGGGGGGGGGGGGGGGGGGGGGGGGGGGTCTAAAAGTATGATTGATATGTGCAAGACTGAAGGCAGTGGGTTCAGGGGTGGCTGACAGTGAAGATATTTTGGATCTTACCTTTTTTGGGTCTTACATTAACTCCTCTCCCTAAAATTTTTCCCGTTATCCCTATCTGTTCGTATGGTTAAGGCATAGATTACTTTAAACAAGTCTTTGTGAAAGAGGATAGAAAGGGAGAGAGCAAGAGAGAACGAGAGGACGAACGAAAGAAAAAAACGAAGACTTTGGATGAATGAATAATTAGAAAATCTTAGAAAAAATTCTCAGCTTAAATCAAAAATTTTTTTTCTTATTTAAATGAAATTGATATTCATATTTCGATCCCATTTAATTCCATTCAAATTCGTCTTTTGTTTCTATTCATTCGATTCCATGTAATGCCTGCATTTTTATTCTATTAATTTCAAGTACCTCTCCAAGGAGGTCGCTGCCTCAAAGAAAGAACCTAATGAAATTTGCCCCGAGCTACCACTTGTGAAAAGGAAACGCATTTTTACATTTGTCATAACTAAGATTTCAGTGAACTTTAGGCTGTGAGTAGCAGTACTAATCGAACTTTTCGATGAGTTGAACTACACTTTTACTGAGGGTTTAGTTAGATTAAATTAATTTTTTTTTTAAATATCCATTTTTTTATTTTATTTTCTACTTTTTTTTGTTGTTGTTGTTGTTGTTTAGGTTTTGATTTTTGCCTTTAGATTAAATATCCAATTGTGTTTATTCAGAGGTTTTTTTTTCAGTGACGTTTTAGTTTAGTTTAAATTTTTTCCTACTTCAACTATATAAGCTATTTCTATTTATTTTTCTTATTCAAAGCATAAGCTATTTATACGAGATTATTATCGAAGTCAAGGAGGCGTTTATATACTTACTTAGTATCTCGATTGCAAGCAGAAAGTGGCTTTTTTTTAAACTGTTATCCTTTTCGGCATGAGGCATTGCCGCACCCATTATCTGGGGTTCCGCTTACTGTAGTTAAGAAATACCCCTAAACCGCCGGCGAAACTCAAAAAGCGTCTATATATTTAGTATGGACTGCGTCGTTTTTCTCTTGACCCATTTTTTCTCTCAACTTCAGAATGGTTAATATAAAGTAGGAGGGAAAATATTCTTAATTTAACTCACTCAACCCAGGCTTTTATTTCGCCTCGGAATAGCTAATTGAAATGATTCGCATCGCAAATTGTTATTCCCACTTTTATATTGATTCATTTGACTATCAACATATTTGAGGAGAACTAGACAAGTGTTCTATAAGATGGCCAGTCTTCCGTAATTAGCTATGATAAAAAGATAAACCTAGATAACGTTTTAACAGTTCCATCGTTTGCCTCTTGAAACTCATTACAACAAGAATGGTGTTGCAACCGCGGATTAAAAAACCCATGAAACACAGGAGAGAACGGGTTTTCCTCCTTCTTTGAAAACCAACTTCGAAATTCCAATTTATTCACTTCAATAAGAGCCAGTACTAAATCTCATTTATTTTACATACTGAAAAATACTTATCAAAAAATGGTAATTTCTTATTATTCCAAGTAGGTTCTTTGTTCGGAACCTCTTTGGCTTAACTAGTGTTTCAGTTAAATTGAGTGAGTTTTTCCATGCACCACTTGAGGTGCGTTTTGACAGTTATAAATGCCTATTAAGTCCGACAAAGCAGAAAGGTACGCTGATGCCTCGAGCTACTCTGGCATATGTTTAAGATGTTTTCTGAAGAAATCATTGATTTTTTGGTAATACTGAGAACGACTGAATGGCACTCGAAGGGCTTTTCATGGCATGACGAGAAAAATATTTCGAACCGTACGTTTTTAGATTTTGGGTATATGCCTCGAGCTAATATGGCGCATGTTTAAAAATGTTTTTTTTAAATAAATCATTGATTTTTTTGGTAATACTGAGAACGAATGAATGGCACTCGAAGGGCTTTTCAGGGCATGACGAGAAAAAATATTTTAAACCATATGTTTTTAGATTTTTTGGCCGCAACGATGTGTACAAAAGAGTTGGTTAACTAACTCAAACAAAAACTGTAGCAATGATTGAAAATTCAAGTCATAAAAGATTTATCAGGTAGAAAAATAAAACAATGTATGTTTCTTTTGATTATAATTAACGTAGCGGCTTCATTCATCTTGGATATATTAGAGCGAGTAAAACAAAAGCAAACCAAGTTGTGAAATTTTATTTGAAAATTTTCTTTTGAAGCGTTTTCTAGTCATATGAGAAAAAATAATATTTCAGAATGCTTCATGGGGATCCTATAACAATATGTGGCGGCTCGGTAGGTGGGAGAGGTGATTCTACATATAACTTAAACACTATTCATACTGCTATACTATATACTATAATATACTAATTCCTTGAAATGAAATCTCAGAAAACAGCGAAAATACTTTACCACACTATACTGAAACAGAAACATCCCATAACTTTAAAGGAAGATCCGTTAAGTTTTCACAGTTCAAATACTAGTATATATTTGAATGCTTAAAAAAAATTATTATTAGCTTAAAGTTAAAGTCATTAGTTGTGATGAAATTTTACTGTTGAAAAAAAAAAAAAAAAGGAATCGAGGGTTGTATAGCCTTGTTAGCGACTAGCCTCTCAGATTCAACATCACATATGAAGTAGGATTAGGTCTCTCCCTTGATTCGAGGGTTTTTCCCCGGGTTTCTCCGGTTTGCGTCCCTTCGCATCACCTATCTGAATCTAAATTCCAATCAGTCGATCTGTGAGTTAGCCGATCTTATTGAGAAAAATCTGAAAAAATGAAGGATGTTAGTCTAAAGGCTTTTTGTCTTGCTTTGTTTATCAGTTTAGCCGTCTGGTCTGAGGTGGAAGTTCCACGTGAGTCCAAATAGTAGCTAGTAACAAGCACCTGTCATTGATACCTTCTTCTCACTAGTTATCTCTAGTAAACACAGGTTGACATATGTCTGTTTACACTTACAAACGTGACAAACGCAACCCCCGTAGAGGGTACAAGGTAGATACGATTAAATAAATTGGTCAAATTTTTTTTTAGAAGTAAGAAATATCAGTAGAAATGAATTACGCAGTCGTTACTCTACTCTGGTAAGAACAGATGTTTTTTTTTTGTATGAGCGGTGTCATTTACAGTCTTGAATTGTTTGTCTGCGACGCGCCACACCGGGGAAGCTAGTCAGGACGTCATAATTTTTAATATACCAAGAAAAGTTATCACAGAAACTTTAGATTTAATACAAATATAAAATTATGAGGCGCCATATCTTTAGCTTGTAAAAATAGACAAATTTAACTGACTTTTTCAGGAAAGTTGAATCAATTAGTATTCCTTGCACTCTACCAAAACAAAACGAATCTTTCAAATATTTTGCAAAAATTATTTTCTTTAATTAAACTTGGAAATTCACCGAGGTAAATCACTTGGACGTGATGAATGAATACTTAGAAATTCATGACTTTTATTGTGTTCGAGAAAATAGTACTGTTTTCGAAATTGGGATTCGGTTTCTTGTTTCAGAAGACATCGCGGTCCCCCGGTGCGCTGCCTTTTCTGTCGTAGAGACACCGAGTCGTTTCGAGACTAGTACTAATCAAAAATAACAAAAGTCTTCCTAATTTGAACCCTCGAGTGTGTTTCAACTCTAGGCCAAGTTTCAGGCCTTGTTTTCTGCCAAAATTGTCCAATGTCCTTTCACTGGGGCCGAAATCTCATTTATGACAGACCAAAATCTGCCTTAAATGGGCCGGGAGACTAAAATGTCATTCATTGTCAGTTGGCCAGGTTGTTTACTATCGATTGGTTTTATCACCCACCACGTTTAACGCCGCCCTCATTTACATACGTAAGGTATCTATTACTAAATGCACTTACTAAACCCATTTATAAGAAAAAATGGCCGATTCTGACATCGAGGAACATAAGAATATTCTGTATGTCATTGCTCGAAAAAAATCCATAAAAATGCTGTGCATAACAGTGACTACCGTCCATTTTATATTAGTGCCTCGTTGCGCTTGAGTATTGACAATGTCTGAATTTTGAATTGAAAATGACTAGTAATTTTTATACCAGTAAAATTGAGCTCATATTTGTGAATATGACTGTTATTAATTATGGTGAAGAAAATATTCAGTTTTCCAACACCAAAAGATCGTATCATTCCACAAAATACATAAAAACACCAATACTATTTAAAAAAATTCATTTCGTATATATAAAGATTTAATTTGTCTTCAATAAATATATATCTATATAATTATTTTTTTGGGGTGATATTTTTTATAGTTTCTTCTTTTATAAGAACTTTTTTACATGTTATTAACATAATTAATATGCCTTAATGGCTAACCGACGAACCGCATAGGAACAGGTAGCGGCGAAAACGAAAATGATCCAACCTCCTTTCCCATATTTTTTATTCCCTTGAGACTAAAAGTATATAAACACTTATATAGTGTCTTTCGTTCGTTGTTTTCGTTTGTTGTTGAGTTGTATTCAGTTAAGAATTATAAAATCATTGATTATATTTCGTAAAAATGTCACCCTTGCTTGTCCTCATTCAAATTTTGAATACTAAATGTTCTTCGGATTCACAGAATGTGTTAGTCGGACTTGTTTTATAGCTTACTATCCTTTATTTGCCTGGAGTATAATTGGTGCAAGAAGTCCGTGTGTTAAATGAAACTTTTAAATGAAACTTTTGTCCAAATGTGAGCTTGACTTTCACGCCGTACTATAGTAGAAAAAAGTGTCATTATTGTCAGTCCTCTGGATCGGAATCAGTAATTGGTGAAAAATAAGTTCCAATATTTCTTTGAGTGCTGTTATCCTCAATTTGCCTTGTCCTTGACTGAAGAACTTTATGAAAGTCCAGCCTTGGCCTCGGACGTTTTGCATTTCTGCTCGAATATGTATCTATTTCCTCTAGAAATCGTTTCCGGGACTCTTTCTTTCTTTCACAAATTTCCAGCTCGCTAGCATCCTTTTCGCAGCGTTTAACCGAAGTGTGTTCTTGTGTAAATTGTATGTTTTCCTGCTCGGCCATTAAGTCGCAGAGTTCCTCGTCGGAGGATTCTTCCTCGATTCCCTTACAACCCTCTGATTTACTCGCATATGCATCACTGGACTTATCATTAAACTGTTTATCCGATTGAACAGTATTCTTGGTATCTCCATCGTTTAAACTGCGGAACGGAGGTTTAGACTTAGGTCTTATATGTTCTCGTTTGTCGATGTTCCCATGCGTTCCTTTAGCAAAAGTCGTAGGAAAACTTCGACTTCTTTTTGGGTTGCTCGCCAGCTTGCCTGCTACGGTGTCTAAGTCGAACGGCTCGGACCATGAGAAGCAAAATGTAGGCTTCCCAGCGAACGAATCTTCTAGTCCATGTAAACTAAATCTTAGTGCTAAATTGTCTATATACTGAAGCCCACTTGCTAAAGCCATTGTTTAACTTCACCAGAGAGAGTTAAAAGTCTAGTTGTCGAGAAATTTCATTCAGCGCTTGTTACGAATGTGTAGTATTCCAGTCTGTTAGATCTTGGGTCTGTGGTAGGAGTTAGTCGTACTCTGTTTGAATGTCATCTGACCACCTGAAAATAGGGTAACACAATCATTAATCCTCGGTTCTGATTGGCTTAGGCTTTTCAATTGTACCCGCTGGACTTCTTTTAATAACAATATAACAACAGGCAATAGTAGAGGATCATCATTCATAAGATATTGAAATCCTCTTAAAATAAAGCATGACAAAACCACGAATTTTGAATACATCCTACCAATATGCGCACAATGTATTTGAGTCTTCTTAAAAAAAGGGGGGAAAACGTTCAAATGTCAACAGCCTGAGGTTACGGACTTCGTATTGTTACTTTGCAAATTTTTGTTTTTTTTGTTTTCCGAGCTTTAGAAAAGGAAATCTGCATTGCGGAAAAGGGAAAAATTAATAATCATGATTGTCTTAAGGTTTTTCATTTAAAAAAACGTTGAACTGCAGATCGAAAAAATCAGTAATACTTACAAAACCGGTTTTTTTTTGTATGTATTTTGAATCGGTTTCGTTTAAGATGTGTAGAACCACTAGCCAACCCGTTAAAAGGTGTCATCTTGATAGCGACTTGACAAATTACAGTTTCTTAATGAACCCAAATAGTACGAGAATAAAAAAATTAACTTTGAAATTAAACTTATATCTGAATCTAACATCTTTTACTTTCCTGGATATTGTGAACTATATAGTAGAGTTTCGTTGAAGAAAATATTTTTTTGGATTTATATATATATATATAGTTAGTCTTTTCCAGAAGAAAATTCATTTATAGTAACAATTATTGTTGAATTATTGTTTGCTTCTTTGTTATGGATTATATCTGTAAAGATATATTAAAATTCATGCAAATTGAATATCAGATCTAAACTACAAACACGTGGATCGAAATTAATATAGGATATAAACACACACACACACATATATATATCCAAATTTATCACTCTTGAGAAATGCAATACCAGAAATGAGAATTGGTCTCTTCCTGTTCGTTTTCCTCGAAGTTGTGCAGTTTTTTTTTTGTCAGCTTTACGTTACCGCACATACGAAAATCAAACAGCTGTAGATATATTTACCCATCATTATCATAATAATAATAGTATTGTGTTCTAAGAGATGTTGTATTTTATGTGACCTGAGTGCCAGGTACACTTTGAAGAGCACAGAAACCTGATTATAATCTTATTACTAACATCAGATAGAATCATTCATCATTCATATAAAAAATGGGTAAAAAACTTGGCACAGTCACTCATTAACCAACCATTTTAAGAAGGAAAAGCATCTAAAGGCAGGTTTAGACGGTACGATTATCGTATACAACGCGCTCGCGCCATCCTACAACTCGAGTCGTAGCGTGTAAATCAAGCCTACAACTCGCCTACTACAGACGCGAGCGTGTTGTATACGATAGTTGTAGGCGAAAATCGTACCGTCTAAACCGGCCTTAACAATGCAGCTGAGTGAATTTGACTTTATAATAGCAAGACTGAGATAAATAATTTTGAAATATTTTCTATACAAAATATGCCTCGATAACATTTGACACGATATTCTTTTAGAAGACTTACAATGTATGTTTGAATATGTGTGTGTGTGTGTGGTGAATGTACATGACTGTATGTATGTATATACATATTCATGACTTAAGCACGAACATTTGAGAAATATGTGTATATATTGTGCATATATAAAAATATTGAATTGTTATCTATTAGAACTTACATCAATTTTTGGCCATCGTCTTAAGCTATAAAAAATCTTTCTCTTTCATTCTCCTTTTACTCTATTACTAATTCATTTCTTTTTAGGTGTTTGCCATCACTATGATAGTACATCCACTATTTTGAAACTCTAATGGAATCGATTCGACATTAATCGGCTTAAACTGTTTCAAAAATTCTCGATAGAAAAAAGTCTTAAAGCCTTGTTATCTGTCGAGATAAAATTTTTAGCAGCTAATGCCGTCGTACTTCGAGACGATTTAGGATCGTATAACGGACCGCCCAGCATCGACTCGATAATGTACCACGTGCACGGTGACGTTAAGTACTCAGAGCAGATGAATGAGTTCCGAGAAGACATGCATAAACCTTTTTCAATAAACGTTGTCATCGCCAAAGGCGCTAGGCGATATAGAAGTTAAGTCATTCCAAGATCCAAGAATAGCTGGAATAACTTGTGTTTCTGCTTCTTATTCTCGTCAAGAACATGGACCTTAGTGTTGAGACTGATTCAATGTTCTTTGTATTCAGCGAAACCATGACCTATCGCCTATCGCCTATCGCCTTTGGCGTTGACAACGTTTATTGAAATAGGTGTATCCATCAAATTATGTGGCCTCAAAAACAGGGCACCCGTTTTTGACCAATTTCAATATTTTTAAACTAAGAATATGTAAATATTTTTTTTACGTGTGTGAACTAGCTGGTTATTTTGAAAACACTCAGATACTACGCACCTCTTAAACCCACTCTTTAGAACATCTGAAGACTATCGCTCGATGAATACTAAATGAACATGGACAATCGTCCGCCTGAGTCAGTCTCTGAGCGATGCACGAGCAAAAACTGAATGAAATACTATGTAGTAAACACTCTTAAAGTACCGCTAAGGTCAACGTGCTAAGATTTGAATTAGCAGAAATCGTGATAAGAGAGTTTATGATTGTGACCAATGATACTCGAGGGACATTTCCATTTAAACTACACACGTGGGAGGCCTTAGTCTTTGTTTTAAGTCATATAATACGTTTAAGCGCGATGAAATTACTCAATACTGTGCCTCAATGACTTAAAAGCTAAGAACCAAAGTCCTTAGTAAAGGAATTAACTTTTCGGAAGATGGGAATGATGATAAAACTGAGCCATTTGTTTTCAGTGCATGGTAAAGATGTAATATTTTTGATTGCCCACGCTGATTGAAGCTTTCAATGCATTCATTTTGTAATCCAGGCACACAATGTGAACATGAGGTCCCTGATGTGGATTAAAATGTGTCAAAAAAAACCTGTCTTAATCTCCCAAATTTTATCGCTAGATTCGAGATGTCTTTGGAAAATTCAATAAAATGTCTATAAAACATATATATTTTTTATGTATTTAGAAGAAGAAAAAACATATCACGATTTATATATATACAAGAAATTATGGATGCATTCAATGATTTCCCTCCTTAAAGTCTACTACCAATGATATATAGTTACATACAGCGGCAATATTATGTACCCGAATAACTTATACATTTTTGGCATATAGTTTTTTTTTATATAAAAGAGTGAACGTTTTTGCAAATATACAGATATGTAGGTGTCACCTACATACATACGTCCTCTAAGCAACGCTGAAACTCTACATCGGTCCATACATAGCTTTTGCACAAAGTCACGCCTCGCACGATATGCCGTCAAAGATACCATAACATTGCCAGTCTACAAAAACTAAGATACATTTGAAAATCGGCCTGAAAAATTTTTCCACGTGGTCTAACTAGGATCATAGTTAAATTAACAATGGTAGCGGATCTAAAGAAAACTTCTCGTTCACATAATTCCTGTTTCGTTCGCCTCGTTACACCAAACCAAAATATAAATATGGTTGTTTTTCACTCATGTGGGAGACTTATTTCTGCCACCGGCACCTTTAAGAACGTCCTAATTCGATCCTATTACCATTATTGACAAGTTGTTAGAGCATTAAAGCCGAGAACTACTAACCTGTTTATAGTCCACATAAAATCACTATAAGAACTTGATACTTCACGTAAGTTAACCTTGTAATGTAGCTAGCTTCATCTATGCTGTTATATATAGAAGCGCCAGTTTAAGATACTGTTTTGTGACCTTGGTTGAACTCAGTACGCTGTACTTAACTAAAAAGACCAAACAACACCGGAAGAGGTGAAGGTACCTGTATAGACTGGCATGCACCTACTAACTCCCACTTAAACATCAACAATAGTCACCTGTATGTATGTTTGTCATTGCTTGAAATATTTGAGTGATTTCAATCTCTCATGGTAAATCTATGTAATCTGTGTCGTGTAATATAATGTTTCTCAGAAGATTTTTGAAAAAAAAATCTTAAAACATACTTTCTTAGGTGAATGCCGAGCATTCCATTGTAAAGCCATTTGAGTGTAGTAAAGAGCGTGAGCTAAATGAATTTCGAAATCGGTGAACACGCGTGCAGTTGACATGTGACAATAACTTTAGTCTTAATTGAAAGTCACTTGTTTACGAACAATACAATTTTAGTAGAGTCGATTAAATTGTGATCCTAAAGTTTGAAAAAATCATTCTCTAAAATGTGTGTTGTAGTGGTGGGAGAGATAAATTTCTCATCAAGTTCCTTATTAACGCCAAATAATAGAGCCTTAGGCAATAATCCAATACACGATACTTTAACTTAAAGGAAGTGTTATCTTTTTCTAGATATAAATCAGAATAGGCCTAGATAATAGTATTAGTCGTTTGGTACTCAAGGTATATTTTTAAACCATGGTTTTTCTACGAGAGAAGAGTCTTTTTTTGTTGTTGTATTTTTGTTTATGATTTTTGTGATCTAAGCAAAATCTTTGACGAACAATCGAAAACCACAAAGTAAGCAGAAGACACGCAAGCAGTTCACTTTGACCACACAGTACGAAATTTAAAGAATAAAGTGATTATTAGTTAATTAAAATCGTCTTGGTCAAGAAACCAAAGTTTCATTAGCTTTGACCCATCGAAATGTTTTGCGACGTACCATAAAAACCGCAGCTTGAATTTCATTGGTTAGATATACTTGCAAAAACAGTAATAGTAGTAACAGTAATCAATAACGGTAATAGTATATAGTAGTACATATAGTAGTACTGGTAGTACTATTAATGGAATGATTTTACTTGGTCCGCGAAACAAAGTCGTATAATTAGTGAGCAGCAGTGATGCTGTCAAATGAAAACAAAAGAAGACAATGGAATTAAAGTCTACTACTACGTATTATGCTTGCTCTTTTTCCATGGAACAACTAAAGTCACTATAGCAGTAGCAGTAGCAGTAGCAGTAGCAGTAGCAGTAGCAGTAGCAGTAGCAGTAGCAGTAGCAGTAGCAGTAGCAGTAGCA